CCTTTCCTCCTGTACCACTACCCCGTGTCCACTGTTGCCCTGTCTAGCCCGGCTCTGTATCATTATTGTATAGGATGAGTCAGGTGTCTTCCAGGCCCTACAGCCTTTCAGCAGGTGAGCAGATCCCCAGCTCACAGTGTGGTTATGTAGCTCTTAGCAGTAGCAGACATCTGTAGACTGTTCTGCATCTGTGCCTGACCCTGTCCTAAGCACTGTCTTGGCTGAGCAGAACACTGTAGGAGCCAAGAAGAAAGCTAGAGGAAATGACATATTTGGAACTGGATTTAAAGAGTTGGGACTTCAGCTAACAGATAGGGGGACATTCTAGGACCTTCTATGTGACAGATGCTAAGGGCACTTCATCATTGTGCCATCTCTGTCCTATTGGTGAGGTGGTGTGTGTGTGTGTGTGTGTGTGTTTGTGTTCATAGGCCTCTTGTATTTTTGTTCTCTGAGCTACCTAAATGAATTGGACATTTTTTAAATGTTGAATTGTGTTTTCTCTTTGTTGATTTGAAACACTCTTTGCATATGGAGTAAAGCAAGGGGACAGAACAGGCAAACACACCATGGCAAAGCAGCATGTGCTCAAAGCCAGTAAGTTTAGCTTGACTTTTGGAGCAGCCGCTGCGGATGGAGCTGGCTGAGGAGCCTCTATCCCGGAATCACAAGGAGCTATAGAGGAGTTTTAAGCAGGGAAGGGATGTGATCAAATCTGTATTTGAAAACTGCTCCAAATAAGGGCAGTAATGGTTAGGGGAAGAGCTAGAAGGATAAACAGAGGCTGGAAAGGGCAGGGTCTTGACTGTCCAGTTGAGTGTCTTAGGTTGAGTGGCAAGAGGAAGGCACAGCCATGCTGAATGATTGGGTGGGAAAATGAACTGATAATGGAGGATGGGCAGCTCCTGCCACACACACTTCCTGTGCTGTTTTGGGGCTGTGCTGCTGTGAGCACACTGTTATTTTGTGCTCTGTGGGCTCCTGCATACCCTTCCCCTGGCTTCCTCCACACATAGAGGAGGCAGGGTAGGAGAGGACCCAGGCAGCTCTCTAGCTGAATGGTTTTGTTACCCAATGTGAGGTTCTGCCCCCAGACATCTCAGACCCACATGGTGCCCAGTGCTCTGTCATCTGTCCCATATCACGGGACTGACCTCCACCCCAGACAGATGACTGGACTGTTGCCAGGGTGACCCAGGCAGGGAACATGAACCAAGTGTTTCCAGGCGGGGTGTGGGAATGGGAGGAGGAGACATGACTGGCCATCAGTGAGCCACGAGGAGGCATCTCAGAAGTCACTTGAGGCCCCTGATACTCCACTGTCCCCACCTTCCCAGTGGCCATTCTAACACCTAGATAGCTCCTCCATTGAGAAGGCTCTGGGCTAGCACAGTGTCAGATGAGCACGTCTTGTGTTTCCTGTCCACTTGGTGGAGGGAACCATGAGGCTCAGAAGGGACACACCCATCTTGAGGTTCCATAGGGAAGCAGCGCAGGCCGCAGACACCATACTTCCCAATTCCCCACCAGGATCAGAAATTGCTATTTTCAAACAGAATTAAAAAAATAATACACTTATGTATTGATACATGCATATGTAGGTGTCTATCAATCAGTCTATCTAACCGTATCTAAGTGGATTATTGCAGTGGATTATTGCCAGGACCTCTGCCCTGTTCCCAACTCTTTCCCCTTCTCTGGGTATTAGCAATGCCAGTTCCTGGTTCATCCTTGTCAGAAGTAATATATGCAGGGCCCAGCAGATTTCTACAAACACGCATCCTTACTTAGAAAGGTGCAAGTACTTACCATGTGCATGTAAGTCTACTTTTCATTATTGTAACAAATACCTGAGATAACTTACCAAGAGGAAAGGTTTGTTTCAGCTCACAGCTGCAGAGGTTTCCGTCCATAGTCCCTTGGCTCTATTGTTTTTGGCCCATGGTGGCACATACATCATGGCAAGAGAGCACATGGACCCAGGAAGAATAGTTAAGATCCAAATTACAGCAGGGGACTCACCACCAAACAAACCCATCATAAACTGAAATGTTACGAGTTGAAAATCCACTCAGTGCACAGTTGGCTGACTGGCTCAGCAGCACTTGCTGTGATAGGCAGGTTGGTCCCCCTGTGGTCTCTTGGCTGACTGGAGCTGAAGCTCCTTGCCTCCAACCAGCATCTTGGAATATGGCCAGGAAAAGATCAGAATTCAAATCTGGAAATACACTTTCCACTGATACATGTCATTCACCATTGTAAAATAAGGAAAACATAAGCTGACCCATCTTAGGTCAGGGACTGTCTATACTTGACTTTTTGAAAGACAAAGACTTGTGAAGGAAAAGATTTCATTGGGCCATGAGTCTTGGGCCAGATAACCAACCCTTGTTGACATTTTAAAAAGTCATTTAACACAGGAAGCTGGGAATGTAGCTCACTTGGTACAGTGTTTGCCCATTATGCACAAGGCTGTGGGGGTTTGATCTCCAACACTACATAAGCAAGGTGTGGTGGCACATACCTCTCATTTCAGCACTTGGAAGGTAGAGGCAGGAAGATCAGGAATTCAAGGTCATCCTCAGCTACATAGCAAGTTCAAGGATATCCTTCGATATATGAGATCCTGTCTCAAAAAAAGAAGTCATAATACAGAAAAAACGTACAAAGTAAAAATCTCCTTCCATAAGTACCTTGCTGTCTGACTAATCAGAGGCCGCTGTTGGTTCTGAACTGGTGTGATACACAGTGCACACCAGTGTAGAATGAAAGGGATCCTTTGTGCGATGTGCAGTCGTAGCTGGGGATCTGTTCCCAGGACAAAGTCCCACAGGAGGAAGAATCTTTTTCTACCAATGTCTCTTTGCTCACCCTTGCAGACAGTGCTGTTACATCCTTGAACTTTTACCATAGCATGTGTGGTAGCTTTGGCAGTTTACCTTTCCTAAAAGGTTGTATCATCTTGTGCCTTACTCAACAGCAAGGTTTTTGTTTGTTTTGGGGAACTGGGGATCAAACCCAGGGCCTCATCGGGGCTTGCTGAGCCACACCCCAGGCTTGCTGGTATCTTCAGAGCATTTATTGCCTTCTGCCTTACCAAGCGTGTTCATTTTTGCCAACTAGGTAGATTTTTTTTTAAGCAAGCAAATTGGGTTTTGATTGTGTTTCTTTAATATGCATTTAATTACAAGAGAGAGTGAATATCTTCCTGAACAGCTTTTTGTACCCTTCACTGTTTTCTAATGGGTTAGTCATCCTATTGATTGGAAAGAATGCTTTCTGTGCTGGGAAATTAACTTTCCTCTCACTCTCCTTAACTTGTCATATGTGTGGCAGACATTGTTTTCAGGGCGTCTTTTTTACCTTGTTTATGGTACTCTGATTTAATTTATATAGTCTAATTTTATATAGTTCAATATATCAACATTTGCCTTCTTGGCTTCTGGGATTGAAACATCCATACAGTGCCCTTCACATACCTTCTACACATCATAGAAGCTGACTCGCAGCCTTCAAGGGAGGCAGGGTGGGGATTCCTGCTGTCAGTTCCATCTTACAGTTCAGATGTGGCTCAAGGAGGTCATGGGACCTGCTGAAGTCACCTAGCTTCCACAATCCTGGTTAGACTGCCTTCCATCACTTGCCTTCCTACCAGCCAGTACCTGACTCCTGCACCAAAGTATCTGGCTCCTCTGGGTAGCATTTTACTTATAAAAACCACAAACACCTCCTCTCCTAGTATTGCTTTTTAAAAAATATTATTCAAACTAAAAAAGTAATCACTGCACCAACAATGCATAAAGATCAAACCCATTCCAGTCTTGCTATGAGCACTCCTCAACCCCAAGTACTGGGGTTACAGGAGTGAGCCACCACCCAGCATGGGTTTATTTATGCTGCCAGGACACAGGGGAGCTAGACTGCCCCTTATCTTTGTGGCCTTATGTATTCTAGGAATAGTTCAGATCCTCACCAAACGCTGCAAGAGAGAGGCATGAGCAGGGCATGGAAGCTAACATCTGTCATCACAGAACTGGAGAGATTGCCAGGAGTTCAAAGCTAGCCTGTGCTACATAGTTCCGTGCAAGCCTAGGCTAAAGAGAGACAGGAGAGAGAGAGACCCTGTCTCAATAAATAAGGAAGGGGGAGTAAAATAGAAGCCTAGAAAGGGGAAGCGCCTAGTCCAAGGTCACTCAGTCTAATGGAGGTCCTATCCAGTCCTATCTGCTCACACATTACATCACTCCCCCAACTTCCTCAGGGCTGGACTGTGGTAGTCCCTTTAGCCTCCTGTCTCGCTGCTTCTGGGCACCAGGGGGTGCTGTTTGAACGCAGTGCAGGCTGTGGGCAACCTTGCTCCACCTGGTGGGGGTCGCGTGGACGCACTTAGGAAGGACAGCCCCTGCTTTGGGGTCTGCTGCTGTGTGCGCTCTGCACGCCGGTCTGTTCCCCTGGCCATGCACTTCCCATCCTTGTCTTTTTCTTAGGCACACCCCTGCGCCTTCCCTGTCCCTACCCCTTCAGTCCCAGCTCCCCTACCCAGGCCACCTCTTTCGCACACTTAGGGTCACCCACCCAGACTGTGCCTCAGTTACCGAGCTGCCCCGATCCAAGAATTCACTTGGCGCCGAGTCCAAGCCTGCTGTGGGAGATGAGGGACGCAGCCGCCAGGCCCATATCTCCCGCCCTCCCCTTTCCCCACTGAGCAACGCCGGTCCTGGAGGGGCCGGGGAGTGGCGTGGTGCCTGGGTGGACCCGAGCAGCCTTGCGCGCTGTGTTCTCTGAGTCGGGGGCGGGGAGGTGCTTGTCTCTCCGGCCAGTCTCCTGACCGTACTGGGGAGGAGGGCGGGAGGAGTGCACTGGCCGCCGGGGCTGCAGTTCTCTTACGGAGAGCCCAGGAGACCAGGCCCGAGGCTGCGTTTGCTGCTACGTGTTTACTTTAGACGTGGTGGCGGGGGGTGGGGGGTGGGGTGAAAGGCTAGGGACCACAGTGCCGCGGATTCCGCGCCTGGATTCTGCGTACCCCGCAACCTGGCCTATCCGCTGCGGCCGCCCCACGGACCCGAGCGCCCTCCACTCGCCCAGACTCGGGTGACGTCGGCGGCTGGGGCGGCACCCGTCCTCCCCGCCCCCAGCACACACGCGCGCGCACACACACCTCAGAAGGGGAAACTGAGGCCGGGCGCGCACAGGACCCCGCCAAGGTCACGGCCGGCGGCCGGCAGCGCGACGCGCGCGGGGAGGCGGCGGGCGGGGGCGCGTGGTCCGACTCCCGCTCCCTCCGGACCCCGCGCCCCGCCGGCCGGCCTACCTGGGGCCGCGCCGGGCACGGGAACGGCTCGCGCTGGGCGGCTGCAGGCACCGAGAGGTAGGAGCTGTGCGGGCCAGCGCGGTCCGGATCCCCCCGCCTGGCAGAGCCGGGCTCCGGAGCCGTGCCAAGGCTGGGATGGGCGCGAGCGCGTGGGCTACGGGGCTGCGGGGTCGCCGGCTTTGGAAGCCGTGCAGTACGGTGCTGCCGTCCTGGGCGCGCAGCCCTGCGCTCTGCAGATCGCAGAGCCGACCTGGGGCGATGCGGGTGGGGGCGGGGCGCGCCCGCGTCAATGCGGTGCCTCCCGGAGCACTGTGCTGAGATCATAGCCCAGGGGTCGCCCTGTGGTGGGTGCCTGCCGTTCCTTCTCCCTCCCCCTCCTGCCTGAGAAATCCCGCCTGCACTTCCCTGTCCTTGGCGGGAGGGAGGATGGTCTAAGCATCTCAGGAATTTGCTCCAGCCTGCTGGACGCGCCCTGGAGTGGGTGAAAGCTTAGACTAGGCGGAGGGGGTCTGGGTCAGAGGGGCTGGATCCGAAATTGGCCCTGCCTCTGACTCCCTGTGTGACCTCGGGCTACCCCTCCTCTTGCTACCTCATGGATGAGAGACTGGATCTCAGTTTGGAATAGGGGAGGAACCTTCGGGATCAGACCCCTAGAAAAGTCAGTTCAAGGGACAAGGCTTGGGGGCCGGACATCATGAGACCTCTGGACCCAATCCCTTATGAGACTGGAGGCTGGCAGTGGGTGTGGGAGATGTTCTGGGAGCTAGTAAAGGAAACCCCATCCCACCTGCCAGCCTGAGCCAGGGACCTTTGAATGCTGCTGGAGTGAGAAACTCCCACCCTGAGCAGAACAGCTGCCCTTGGGGGAGTAGAACAGTGCACTTACAGAGTCGTTAGCAGAGGTGAGCAGTGACCGTGCCTCCAAGAGTCTCAGAGAAAACTCCCTCCCATGTTTCTGCCAGGCAGTGGCTACTCTAAATTGTCAAGCTGTCAACTGTCACAGTTGATCTGTCACAGGAGCAACCTGAGCAGAAACATGACAGTGGGTGTCCTCTCCCCCTGGTCCTGTCCACTCCATGAAACTCCCAAGGAGAGCAGTGGGCTCTGCCCTGGTCAACTGTGCATGTTGCTCTGAGCATGCTCTGTGTCTTCCTGGTGGCCTAAAGCCACTATTCCATTTCGTGGCCAGCATCCCCCTACAACACTAGCAACACTAGCTAGTGTTGCCCCTCCCCAACTCAGGAGGTGACACCAGCATGGCCTTCCAGTCACCCTCCCCTGACCCCAGCATTATGCTCTGCTTCTCACATTGGCTGGCAAGGCAACTAGGTCTCAGAACCCACTTGCCCATTAGAGTCCAGGAGTTGAGTTTGAGTAACACCTACAGTGCCCCATTACCACCTCCAGTGCTGGAAAAGACAAGCTGAGGTGGCTCAGAGTGCCACAGTGCCCACAGCTCTGCCACTGAGTATCCGTGCTGGAGAGAACACCCTGTGGCCAAGAGACTGAGGCTAGAGGGAGGCAGGGATATGTCCAAGGTCACACAACACATTCAGAGTTGAGGGGTCTGTCCCCAGCTCCCCAGCACCCCAGTCATTCTTGGGAAACCACTGACTAGGGAAGATGCCACAGAACTAGGGGCCACCACAGAGGTCCCTGCAGTGAAGGGACAAAGGAGGCACCTGTGCTCCCCTCTGCAGGGACTCTGGCTCCTGCAGCTTGCAAACATTAAGTAATTTTCAGTCTCATGACTGAAGTTGCCACTGGTTTCAAGGCTGCTTAAAGGGCCCCTAGCAGCCACTGCTATGGCTAACCAGCCCTGCCCTTGTCCTGCCTGTCATCCTGTAACAGACCCCTACCCCAGAGTCTGGAGGAGGACCAAGGCCATGGCTGGAGAGCTGACCCCCATGTCCTCAGCTAGCCTCTACATCAGCCTTCTGGCACTGGCATGGAGTGTACTTAAACCCCCAAGCATCCCTAACCAGGAGCTGCTCTTGATAGAAAGCTCCCAGCACAGCACATGTGTGATACCAGCCTGTTGGGCAGTGTCTTCTGGTTGCTCCCACCCCCACCCACCTTGCCCTGGTTTGGCTCCTGCAGAATGTATCCTTACCCCTGCCACCTGGAAACTGATTGTTCTTCCTTGCTTTCTTCTGTGTCACTTCTTCCACATCTGCTGGCTCCTCCCTAGGGCATCATCATCACCATAGAAGAACATAGTGACAGTAGCCCCCCAGCCCCAGGCTTTCAGAGATAGTGCCAGCTGGGAATGGCAGGCAGGCAGCGAACAGCTAAGTTCTTGATGACTCTGAAGAACCATAGGACTGAAGAACATAGAACCATAGTCTGCCCCATGAAGTTGAAGCTCAGCAAACAATTTCTAAGCACCTGCTCTGTGGCAGTCAGGTCACAGGGTCCAGTCAGATCACAGAGCCCTCACATGTATCATTCATTCCATCGGCAAAACCCCAGGCCCATCTGTTAGCTTCCATAATGATTCTGGAAGGTTCATCTTAAAACAGTGATGTCACCCTCACAGTCTAGAAAGAATGTGAAACCCAATCCTTCCCTCTCACCACCCTTCTGAATGAGTTGGAGCCAGTCTGCCATTCTACAGGTCCCAGTTTCCTTTGGGAGGCCTTTCTTGGGGCACAACCAGAGTCCACGCTGACCCATGTACGTTCCTGAATGGTGTGTGTAACAGTAGAGGCTGTGTGAGGGTTGGTGAGCACCCGTTGCCTCTGTAGAAGGGAACCTTGTTTGTGGCAGCTTGTATTCCTCTTGCAATGACAGTTGCCTCCTCCATGGGAAACTCCCAGGGGCACAGTGGTGGTGGAGGGAAGGAAGGTGGTCCTGCCTGTCCCTAGTTCCAGGGGCTAATCTAAGTGTTTGTCATGCTGTGATGAGCTGAACCTAGAAAAGAAATGCCTTGCCTTAGAAAGTAGTAAGTTCCAGGGCTGGAGAGATGGCTCAGCGGTTAAGAGCACTGACTGCTCTTGCAGAGGACCTGGGTTCAATTCCCAGCACCCACATGGCAGCTGTGAATCATCCTTAACACCAGTTCCAGGGGAATCCGAAGCTCTCTTCTGACCTCTGAGGCAATGCATGACACTGGTGCACTCACATACATGCAGGCAATACACTCATACACATAATATATATATATATATATATAGTAAGTTCCTTCTCACCAGAGATATGCAAGGTGGGCAGGATAGAGGATTCTAGTATAGTATGTGGGTGAACTTTAATGCCTTGGGAGGGGTGCATCCTTGAGTTGCTTTGTACTTTGTGTCAATTGTGTCTACCAAGGATTTTACTGTGAGGATGGCAAGAATGCCGAGTGCCAGAGTGTTTCCACACAGCAGGATTGGGCTGGCGTTCCACATGTAGCTCAGCCAGATGCTGATCTAGGGCAAGACTTTGGGCTTAGCCCAGGGACTGGGAGTTTGGTATGAAGGAAACTGATGCCTTATAGCAAATCCAGGAGCAGCAGCTGGTGGCCCAGCTTCCCTTGAACTCTGGGAGGCTGGCAATCAGAGAGCTGGCCCCTTCTTCCTGTAGACAAACCCTTTACTGGGCTGAGCTGAAGCATCTCTTACTTTGACCTGCTGTCACCAGGCTTCCCCACAATCTTGGGGGCTGGAGGTGAAAACAGGTTGAAAGTCACAAGGGGTGGGAGTGAATGAGGACAAGAGGAGTCTAGGGTACAGACCCTGGATAAACTTGGGTGCTTTCCCCAGAGGCTTTGGAGGGTAGAACATGGAGCTGGTCCTGGATCCCCTCAATCCAGCCTAGGTTTAGACAGCTCTTAGCTTCCTAGCTTTGCATGACTTTGTACAAGTCACTAGACTCCCCCTGAGCCTGTTTTCTACTTACCAGTTGATTAAGTTAGTTTTGGTTTTGTTTTTGGCTTTTTGAGACAGTCTTGCTGTGTAGCCCAGGCTGCCCTGGAACTCACTACATAGCCCAGGCTGCCTTTTTGACTCATGGCAGTCCTCCAGCCTTGTAAGTGCTGGGATTACAGGTGTGTGCCCCCATGCCTGGCTTGCTTTCTCAATGGGGTGCTGACAATGCTAATCATCTGCTAAGGCAGGCAGGAGGATAATTCTGTGCAAGTCTATTGTGTATCACAGATGTTTCTCATTTCTTCCTTTGGGGGAGATCACAGGAGCCACCTAGAGCCTCATAGTTCAAATAGCAATGTTGGGGCCACTCATTCACTAAGCAAAAACTTATAGAGTGCCAACTATATGTGACAGGATTTCTTGTCAGAACTGAGGTCACCACTGGAGCAAAACAGCGGAAGCCCTGTCCCAGGAGCTTTTACTGTGGGCGATTCTGTTATTTTGGAGGTGCTGGGGTTGCATACTGTAGGCAAGCTCTCTACCACTGAACTCTGTCCACTGCTGTGGGAGCTTTTATTCTAGAGGCCAGAGACCCATGATAAATACCTACACAAGAATGTCAGGGTGTGACCAGCACTAAAAAGAACTAGTCAACAGGGTGGGTGTTAAAAATCACTTACAACTGAAGAAAGAGCCTTCTGGGGAAGAAGACTGGAGAGACCTGGTTTGGGCTCTGCAAGACCCAGATTCTAGGCCTGGCCCTGCATGCCTCTAATTGTGCAACCTTGGGGAGTTCCTTCATGTCTTTGACCCTTCATTTTTGTCTGAAAAGGGGGAGAAGGAAAAGCCTGTGGTTGCATGGTAGCCCCAAGTCTCAGCTTGGGGCCATGGCCGTCCCAATTCCTGGCTCACACTCTTTTTTTGTTTAGAATGTGAAATATGACCTCTCACACTGAAGCATGAAAACATATATATGCACAGCAAAAAGAATAAAAAAACGTGTGCAGAGCCCCACTGGGATCCAGATCCCAAACACTGCCAGCAGCTCCCATATGCCTCTCCAGCTCTCCCTTCCACAAATTCTTGACATCTGGGACAGTCTGGCCCCTGTCTTCGTGCAGTGCCTCCTGTGGGAAGCCTTTTACAACATGACTGCTTTCCCTATAGCCATGGGCACATGCGTGTCCAGCTCTGGCCTCCTGTGCTCAA